TAATTTATATATAATTTTCTGAAAACAATATAAATAAAATATAAAATCCATATAACAAATATAGAGATAGTTTATGTTTTCCAGCAACATTAAATGCTAGGCTTATTAACTATTAAATTTGATCAAAACTTGAAGACGAAATATTTTTAAAATTCTGAAATGTAAAATAAATTTATTTATGCTATTTTGAAAGCTGATAACAGACTAAATTAAAGACTTCTAGTCATAACAGATAGTGAAGAATTACTCAAGAGGTAGAGGAGAAGGAGGAGGCGGAACTACAAACTTTATGTTTCTAGAAGTACAACTTTCAAAAACTAGAATATAATATATATTGACAAATAGAGTAGCTTAAAAGTCTAACAGCAAATATGAATTTAGAATTTGTAGTAAGAATTCAAAATTTCCGTATGAATTATTTTTAAAATTTTAGTCAGCATTATATAGAATACATCCCAAAGAATTACTTAAGACCTAGACATTAGAATATACAATATATATTATAGATTTTCTATAGAAAGTCTTGGTGCAAGTAAAAAGTTCTGCAGCTAAATAAAATTAGGATATGGGAATTGCGTGCACTATGGCCCTAGGGCCACCTATTTGCACCTGCCCGCCGTGTGGCAGTGGCAGTTGGCTCGCACTGGCGGCCGCACTTAAAATCTGAATTTGAGCAACGCGTACTTTCCGCTAGTGAAACGCGAATGAAGCGACGGCCAGGATTTTCCCTCGAAATTGCAGTTCATCTAAGCGATTTGCATACCTGCCCCGAGCCGACAGAGCCACCTTTACAGGTATCTGCGCATACGTTTCATCATTCACGCAAGCGTTGAGGAATCACGCGGAAATTCCGCAGCTTCAAATGAAAGGACAGCAGAAAGGAGCACAGGTAACGCTAGCACGCTCTCTCTCTCTCTCTCTCTCTCGCGCAGTGTCCTGGATTACCTGCGCTGTTGGCCGCAAACTCTTAACCCAAATGTGACCTTGAAATTTTTCTAGAGAATTACACCCGGAACGTTTAGCGCATGCGCCAAATGGCTTTTATATTGTGTTTGTAAAAATAACAATTATTATTAAAGCGTATTTCGCATTATTTTCCACAGGATTAGAGGGGATGAACAATAAAGCAGTTAGGCCAGATAGCACAGAGTGGGAGAGGGAGAGGGAGAGAGTGTGTGTGTGTGTGTGTGTGTAAGAGAGGCACAAACACACACATCTATACATATAATAAATCAGGTAGCACTGCCAAGTGTTTAAAGCCAAGTGTCTAAGCCGTGCTCGAGTCTCGAGTTTTGGTCCTTGCTCAACGCTCGCCGCTCGCCGCTCGCCGCTCGCCGCTCACCGCTCGTCGCTCGTCCTGCGGCTCACAGCGTTTACGACTCCTTTTCGTTCGCCTCCTTTTGTTTCGTGGTACTTGAGATAGTTTTGTTACTCGGCTTCTTCCACCTACGTCGCATCACGATTCAAATTAAGATTTGCGCCTTGCACCTTGCACCTTGGCGGTGCGCAAGAGCCGCTGCGGCGCGCTCTCGGTGGGTGGGTCAGGTCTTTTGCAGCAGGCGCCAGTCGTAAAAGTCGGCTGCGACAAAGGTAGGCGACAGACGACGAGCCAACGTGCACGGGAGGGAGCGAGAGAGGGAGAGATCGACAGAGAGCGTGAGCCCGAGAGGGAGGGAGAGCAGATCCTAAGCTAAATCGCCCTGCCGTGCCATGGGAATGTGCCATTTTTTGTAGCCCACATTTGCTTAGTATTTATTACAGTATATTTGGTATATACTTTTGGTGTATTTATATTTTATTCTAATCCATTAACTGCATATTTAATATACTTTTTTTTTTTAATATTTATATATTCATCAAGAGTTTCTTTCAACTGCTTTCTGTTATATTTATTCCGCAATACAAGATTAAAGACATATACAAATATGTTCCTGTTTCTAAAACTGGTTTTTATGATTTCTCTGAGTAGGGCAAATTCTGAAGTTTTGTTATATTATCATATGTCTACACACATATTTTCATATATGTATCGAATATCTATCAAGTATAAATATCGTCATAATTATATTATATATCTCTCAATTTTTAATAGTTCCTCTTCTTCTTTCTTCTAAACATAAATACTTTTCATATATTTCAATCTAATTTGTTATCATGTCTTATTTTATTCTCTCTTTTCGATTTTCGTTTCTTTGTTGTACTTTTCTATATATCTTAAGATTTTTCTGATTTATTACTGAAGTATTATAATAATAAATGTATGCTTCACGTACTTTTGTGAAACTCTTCCTCTTAGCTACATAAATAATTCCTAATATTAGATATATGAAAATATATTATAATATTATATAT